TTGTTGTCTGTGCTAGTTAGATTTAGTTAGCACAGACATACCTACCCATTCTACCACCACACCTCCATATAGCTGAACTCAATTATCTTTGGTAGGCAGTGTCTTAAATGAAGACTAGGATAGATCAGCACAAGCCTAGAAGTAGTAGTACAAATGCTGTATGACCCATTTTTAATGTGCGTCTTACTCCTCTCTTTAGGGCCAGCTCCAGTATGGAGAAGCTAATGACGAAATTCTTTACGTTCGTCTTTGCATACTAGGAACTTCAAATGTCTGGGCAGAACTCCATTTGAACAATTTATACTCTGCCTGAATATATTCCCTTTGTGATTTCATCTGAACACTATGCTCTTCACTAGTGTGAAGTCTTGCGCTCTGTTGCTAAAATGTCGTCACCTTTCCCCTTACAAATAGCTGCATTTCAGGGGTGATAAAGTGATTTTTACACCAGTTTATAGCTTTAAAATTGCTTTGGAGTTCTTCCAGTGAAAGCTGCTATATATGGAAACACCAAAATCAAACACATTTACACTTACAGCAAGCACTGGGCCTGTTATTGGTAAGATCTAAGCAACAACAACAAATTATTTCCTTCAATTGTCCTTAGTTTGTTTGAATCTTCTCTGGAAGAGGTCAGGACATCCCCAAGGTTACCAATCTTACAGTCTGAAAACTTCTGGCTAGAATATTTCCCTTATTAGAAAGCATGAATTTATCTTCTCTGATCCTGCCAGGTTTCATTTCTGTTTATTGTATACCTATTTCTACTTTCTTGATCTCTCCTGTTTTCTCTTTGCTCTTTTGGGTAGTTCAAGAATGATGTTGTAGCTATAACGGTCCAGAAATTCTGTGGGAAGCAAAGATTTCTTAAGGTGATATCCTTTATTGGACTAACTGTAGCTAGGAAAACATTAGACAAGCTTTCAAATGCAAGACATCCTTTGTCAGGCCTCTCTATTGTGGATTTTCCACGAGCCCCTGATGCTAGGAGCTGTCAGCTGATTCAGGCTTCCAGGCACTAGGGTGCACCATATGTTCCCACAGATGGGAGCCCAGATCAGCTACAGAAGTGTATGGTGCGTCTCACTGGTTGGTAGCCTGGATCAGCTGACAGCACTCCCAACTCTAGAGGCACAGTGGAGCCCTTGACTTCAGCTGCATCCCAAAGGGGGAATCCCTGATCTGCACCCTTGCAGGTGGGAACAGCTGATCTTGGCTCCCAGCCTGGGGCCTTTGACTCCGACCGGCCTCCAAGACCATGAGAGGCAATCAGTCGATTGGCACTCTCACCCTTGGGAGTACATTGGGGTCATGGGCTCCTGTGAAATCTAGAGAGTGGGAGCCACAAACAGTCTGGCCACATGTTCAATTAATGGTGTAACTGGAACCAACCACAAAATTACACATATTTTGCATAATAACTTTGTGGCTTATACTTTGTTTTATCATGCTATTTGTTGCATAAGTGTGTGGCCAGGTAACTATTTAAGACATGATTAACTGGTTAATCATTCATCATTTTTTCATTTTAATTCAAAAAGATTGATTATAACATGTATGGGTTTCCAAGGAATATAGTGATTACCATATGTATTTAAAAGAAATGTTTCTTAATATACTCTTTCTTAATAAGGAAATCACTATTCCAGTCCAGCTAATTGAACTAAAAATCACTGTATATGCAATTTTTTTCTCTTTTCTCGAATAAAAATAAAAGAAGGTAAAGATCACTGTTCTTTCTATGGTTATTGGCTGGTATTCAGAATGGTTGTGTTTAGCCTTTGGAAATAGCAAATATGACTTACTTGCAAACTTAGATTAAACCAGGCAATATCAAAGTAACAGCATTACAGTACATTTACCTCTGTGTTGTAGAAAGCAGTTCTTAAAATGACAAAATACAATAAAACTGTACTACTTAATTTAATCCAACATACAGGAAAGTTAATTAACATTTAAATCTGTAGTTGGCTAGCTATACTGTACTGATGTTTCCAATTCAGCGCAGTTAACAGATGTGGTGTTGCTTTTCTAACTTCAATTAAAATATTAATTTAATTCAAAAAGCCTACTAGGCAGAAAGAAATTATAAAACCATTTTGAGGGGCAGTTCATTTGAAAAAAAATATTTTATTTATATACTTGGGGAAATGTTTCTCTATGCTTTGAGATTCTGGTTTTGGTCCTGTGATGGATAAAATGTTTCAGGCACCAAGTAAGGATTACCTGGTCCGTCAAAGGATTATCTGATTTTTCATATTGCAAGGCTTCATATCCTTTAAAAGATGCATCCAATTATAACTTGAATGATCCCCTGGTTTTTCGCTTTATCAACTTAGTCTATTAGGCCATTACACGTTATTCTCCAAGTGAAAAAAATATTCTAACATCTGTTCTCAATCTCTTTTCCCATAATTTCCATTTATGCCCCATATAACTCATTATGCTCAACTACAAAACATTACTGTATGTATCTCCACCATGCATACTTTTATATTGTAATTAATGGAACTGTATTAACATTGATAGGTTGTAGGCCTAAAATGTAATCTACCTTAAAGAAATAATATTTTACTATGTCTTTCTGATCCAGAAAAGCATTCTGGTTACTCCAAATTAGAATTACAACACAGAAAACATTCACCCTAATCTCCTGGGTACCCTCTATTATAGCAAAAGCAGGACACCAAGTTCCTTTCTTGCCACTGTGCTATCTATTCAGTCCAACTGTCTGTTATAGCCTTATGAGAGAAAAGGTATCTAAATGAAGGAAATGCTCACTGACTGGCTTCAAAGGTACATTTTTAATATATTCAGTATCCTACCTCTTCATAAAATGTGTCAGGCAGAGGAGTGTACATCTGTCTCTACAAGCTAAACATAATATGCAGGTGTAATACCAGTCAAAAAGAGATGGAAGTAGCCACTTAAATCTCTTTTCCATTTTTTCTATATTTATGATTTTTAGTCTCTCCTCATAGGTAATTTCTTCTCTGGAAAGTATATTTGTCACCCTTCCATATATATTTCATAGTTTCATAGTTTCTAGGGTCGGAAGGGA